TGCATGGTCCAAAATCAGAAGCTGATGAAAGCTGAGAGTCTGGGCCTGACTTTCCTTTCCTTTTCACCCTTGTTTAACTGATGTCTGTATAAATTAGATACGAAATAACGTATCTAATAATTGGACTCCCTTTTTATCAACTTGAAGCTGACTGCAAGCAAAAACACATGCTTTGCTTTAGTACCGGTGCATTTACACAGTTCAAAATGTCTGTTCAAGGCATTCATGTTAGGCACATGCACAATTACCTGCACGTGCATCACTTCAGGGCTAGGACTGCCAAACTCGGATGCTGCTAACCTCAATCCAGAGTTAGAAAAGAAGGAGCTTAGAGTATTGTTGATCCTAGGAAGCTACGAGACAGCAGCTTTACCTTGCAGCTTTTTCCTTGCAAGGACAGCCTCCCTGGGCCACAAGCATACAGGTAGTATCAGTGCACCTTCCCTTAGATTTACCTGCTCACACTCCCTTATTCACAGTCCAGGGCTAACGTAAAATGAGATGGCAACAAAGAGACGGAGACTAAATGGGTGAATGTTTTGGAACATGCATGGTGTATCTTGTAGTACATTCAGCCCTGAAACTTTAACTTTCTACCTACGACATGTGCATTAACCGCTCTGAGACGTACACAGGCCACCACCCTGAAGCCACTTCTGATATTGCCACTTGGCAGTTGTCCCCTGCCCCACCTCTGCAGGAGCATGCTTCCTTCACAGCCACATCAACAGCACCTGGAAATACTAGGTTAGGTTGCCTTCAAAGGCTGTCCAACCCAACTTTGAAATGAAGCAGATTGGGAGCAACCTACTAACACAACTCTATAAAGGTGTGGGAATGAATCAATGACCAAGAATGGCAGCTTCCTAAATCACCGCGGTTAAATCCATCTGTAGAAGTTTGCCTCTGCCTTAGGAGCTTTTTTTTTAATTAATAAATAAAAACTCTCATCCTGCCTAAGTCAGATTTTAAAAGTTGTGGGGCTATAATGTTATCTACATTTGCACTGTCATAAAAAGAGTCAAGACATCCTTATTCTTCCTGTGCTCACTGCTAACAACTCTCATTCCAACAAAGTCAATGTCAAGAAAGACATCGGGCAACTGGAAGAGTTAGCCAATAGTAAATTTGTTATTTGGTTCCTGGGGAGTAAAGAAAAAAATAGCATGCTCAAGGTATTAGTTTATGTTCAAATAAATACCCTTATTAGCAGCATGATTTTGAATCACTGCACACAAAACGCATGAAGCATCACACTCTATTGGATGGCCTAGCAAATGTCAAGGACATTGCCATCCAATGTCAAATGTCAAAACATAGTTTAGCTTCAGTTTCTCCTTTAGCACCTTACTTTAGAAATCAGTTTTGAAAATTAAGAAAGAGCTACACAAAAACAACAAAGAAAAACAAAGCAAGAAGTGGGATTACTAAAGCCATGCTTCTTTTAGTATGTTTTAATCAAATGATATTTAACAAGTAATTTAACTTGCTAGTTCAATGAAAAGTAGCAAAACTGAATCACAGTTTACTGTAATATTTTTCTAAAACTAAGATTCATCCCTTGAATTGGGGGGGTGGGGGGGAACACAAGCTCCAGCTCCAATTACACTGTTCATATGTTGCCACTAAAGAACAATTTAAGGTTCATACATCTTCCCTGAAGTATAAACCAAAGATGTACTGTAGAAATTCCAGGATAGCTACACAGTCCTAACAAACAGGTTTTGGTAACACAAAGTGACACATTTTAGTACATATTCATAAGGGTTGGGGGTTATTATTGGGCTGTAATTGCAGTTGTTCTAACACCTAATAAGCCATGGCTAGAAAAACAAAGGCAGGTTAATTTGTGATTTCCTCTACTCATTCAGAGGCAAATTAAGTGTCAAACAGCTAATACAGAACATATTTCATTTTATGAGATTTTAATTTAATTCTGCACCATATCGTTGATGCCTTAATGTAGGGTGGTTTATCTAAGAAGAAGAGCAATTTATAAACCTCTTTCAATTGAAATCTTTAATGATAGGATATGATAGCATAATTACAGCAATGCCTGCTAGTCCTACTACACATAAGCATCTGTCAGAAATTCCATCATAAACATAAACCCTTATTTTAGGGGTTTATAACTCAAATTATAAAATTTGGCTCCAGGCTGAAATTTGGGATACAACAGTTCTGCCCATCGGCAATTAAACTACAAGAATTATACATATAAATACATACATATCTTTAGAGCTGCAAGTACATAAGAGCCCTATAACACCTTAAAAATTCCTCCTTTTTTCTTTTTCACTTGGTCATTGTTCAAAATTACATGCACACACTGTAGGTATCATGTAGACAAGGCCCTCTCCACATTTATTCTGCACTTGTATTATACCTAAACTAATTCCACTAAGGCTTGACAGGTTCTGGAACACATTTCTAAGAGCTTGGATAACTGCAATGATGCCAATTTTTTGCCCCCTTTTTTTATTTATATTCCCCCCCACCCCACAGACACATTTAAGAGCATTATGAAGCTGAGGAGAACACCACTCATACAATGAAGTCATTGATGAAGCCATGTGTAAACGTTTGTATCCTGACTGGTGTTCTTGCCATTTTCTCTCAGAATTCTCAAATAACTTCTCAGACCCTGTTCTTTCTTCTTCTTTTTTTTTTTTTTAAATGGGTGTTGGAACAGCAGTTCAAGTAATGGCTCCAAATGATCCCAAATTTAACACTCCTAAGCGATACTCACACCAGGCTCTGTAAAACTTGCAAGAAAACTGCTGGGTTTCTACCTCATACATACATTAAAACATATTACTGAAAACAGCAAAAGCATGACAAACTTTAACATCTACAAAGAAGCTGTTGGAGTCGAACTGATTTTTTTTAAGTTGCTTAATTGCATATTTACATTTAATTACACCAAGCACAACGGCTCCAAAAGTCCACCACAGCTCATCATTCCAATGGCAACACAAACCAAATGAGAAATTAATGGAAAAATAAACAGCCAGTATCAAGGAAACTGAGTTTAAACTTGGGCTGATATCAGAGTGTATTTCTAAAGCAGTTGCTTGCAGTCGTATCACATCACACTAAGATCTTGTCATCTCTAACAAGCCTCTGCAGGGCCTGATTGAATCACCGCTACACCACAGGGTATGGCGGGGAGCGGGGGCATGCAGCACGCAGTGCGTGGCACCTTTCCATAGGAGGGATGTTGATTTCAGCATCAGAGGGGACTACCACTGAACGCCAAATGAGGCATGAAGCAGGCATTTTCAACATCTTTTGGGGCTCTTACAGAAGTCCTGGCACTTTTAGCAGTGTAGGCTGCTAGTCCAGATTTCCCACTGTCATCCAAAGTGGGGAATGGTGGTCTACCCACCCAAAAGCCGTGCCCACGGGTGCAGAGTGTCACGGTATGGGCTGGGTTCATGGGGCTCAGGCTCCGGAGAGGGCTCAGCACAGCAAGTGCAGCCAGGCAGGATTCCACATGGCACAGGATCCAGAAGCCTCAGTGAAGGCTCACAGGTGGTACCCAGGTTTTGGATGACAGTCCTCTGCTGATGCAGGTTAAAACAATTCCTGGGGCTCCCTATCCCATCTGCCTCACACCGAAGACAAAGGCAAATTCCCCACTAGCTTCAGAAGGGCCAGGATCATCCCCCCAGCTCCCAAAAACATCCAGGCAGAATATTCACTGCACTGCAAAAGCTAGGATTACCATGTAATGACTCTGTCTGAGCCTGCCACCTTCAGCTTACAACAGTTTTCAGCAGCAAATTTAAGCGTGTATTTTGTGATATGGTTGCTGTGGTGTAAATGGTGATGCATCAGAGGAACTCTGAGGAATAAATCACAAGTTTCTGTACTCTCTCTTTCTACAAATACCCACTTTTCCTCTAATGCCCAAGAAGACTGCAACACAGATTTATTACTTACCTCCAGGCAAATCTGTTCTGAAATTACAATTCAGTAATAGAAGACTGACCCAAAAAACCTGTTAGTAAAATATTGTGTGTGTACTTGGGCATGTAGTTAGGATTGTTAATATCAATTAATTCTGCTCACAGAGGAGGACTTGTTTTAAAACAACTTCATTTTTCTTCTGCATATATGTAATTACACAGCTGTAACTAATAGCCATAGCAAAGCAATCTGCCATCTAAACAACTAGCATTATTCTTCAAAGTATTACTTGTGCTTTTCTTCTTGTATTTTCTCAGTATGAGAGGTGATTAGTAGATATGATTAAATGTATATATCAAGCGTTTTAGCAAACTACCAAGACCTGCTTTTTGGCTCCATTTTTTAATGGTATATAGCAGTTTTCTGGACACAACTGTTTTATTCCGCAATGCTGGTATCTGTCTCCCCATATAGAATAAGATAATATTTATTTCTACAGGATTTCACCACTACCACCCTTTTCTAATGCACGTTATCACTGGTACTCATTTCTTTTATCTTTGTGTAAACCATGTGCTCTATCACATTTGCCATTTTGTTTGGGTGACATTCCCATCAATCAACCGATTGCCTGTGCATGCACACAACAGGGACTATGAAAATTTACCAAAAATTTCATTATGCTTCACAGCAGTCACTGGCAAAAAAAACAACTTCGGCATGAGACGAAATTTTAGCTATGAAGAATCCCAAGCCTAATTACAGGCAAAATACATGTTTTGTCTGACTGTATTTCACAGGGTTCAGCACTTTTTAATTTAGTATTTATAGAACAACAGCACACAGAATAAACATCAGCAAAACATACAGGTAACGCTTGCCAGCCACCTATTATAACATGAATTCCTCAGGCACCAGCCTGGGTTTTGCTTCACAAGCAGATAACCTTGATGCTTTCCAAAAGTAAATCTTGCTCTCTAGTAACACTGGCAAAGTGCTCCAGGTGCGTGGCTTTAAGCACTGCAAAGGTTTGTATACTTGCCCGTTCTTCCAGGCAGCTGAAGTGAGGGGAAATACTGAATACTCACACATGCAGAGGAGGAATGGGAGATGGTTCATAATGGTAGCGTCCCTCATGATGTCTTGCATCAATTGGTACAGGAGGGTGGAATGCTGGAAAAAGGTGAGGCGGATCTGAAAAAACAAGCGAGGTTCCTGGATCTGAGTATCTCCAACGACTCTTTAAAAACAACATTCATAAAGATGGAACAGGTATTGAAAAGCATGTGTCAACAATGCTACAACTTATGGGTCGCGTTCCCCTTCCCTGCTGCAGTCAGTCAGGTCTGTCTGAGGAGAGTCTGGCCCACAGTGTTTGCATGAATATGTATTTACTAATTTTAATATTCTCTTTTTATAGCTTAAATGGAAAGGGACGTAAAGAAGTCTTTAATAAATAATTATGTGCCCATATGTGAAGTGTCAGATCAAAAGGAACATCAAGGCTTTCATAAGCATTCCTGATTTATTTATTTTTTATTAAAACAAGAAAAAAAAATCATCCGAGGACCCAAAGCCTAAGGAGAGAATACAATACAATAAAAAAAAGTATATCCTCAGAAATGTACACACAATCCTACAATGGAAAGCAAAACTGAAGCAGCATGCTGACAAATGACTATATGGAGTAAATCAGACAAGAGAGTTAAAAGGGAAATGCAGCTGGGAACGGCTGTGCTGGAGATGCTTAACTGTGTCACACCAATGGCCGCATCCGGAGGAATGTATCTGAGGACAGGGGGACTCATTTCATACACCGCTCTTAAAAAGGAAGGGTGCTTTCTTTGTCCCCACAGCTGGAGACCTGGGGACCCACGGCTGCAGTAAGTTCCCCTGCCCGGTCTCCTCCAGGGCTTTTGCAGGACAGGGAGGTTTGCAGCTGCCAGGGCTCCTGTTCCCTGCTCTTTCTGGAGAGCCTCAGCAACAAGGCTGACAAAAGGGGGAATGTGCCCCCGCCACCCCCACGGGCTCTGCCCTGAGGGGCCAAGTGCAAGCCCGCCCTGCAGCTCCCCACCGCTTCTGCAGCAGGATTGCCTCCCACCTTTGGAGGACACCATGCACACAAACCACAGCTCTCCGCACCAGCACACAGGTGCGATTTGAGTGCCTAAAGGAGCTTATTGCTGACCGTGCTGCCCACTGCTGCCTCCCAAATGCTCAAAATTCAAACGAGATGCTGAGCATCTCCAGCAGCACAAAACAAACCTATCCTGCCCAATTATCACCCGATTGCCACTTTGGATGAAGTCACGTGTTTATCCGACACCAAAAGCTGAGAAGTACAGACATTAGGTCATGTCATGGATTTACTAAAATGCTTCCAGAAAGAAAGAAAACTTCAATTATGCACTGGCAGTAAAACTAAGCCTACTTTGGTTTTGCCTGCTGACTCTTGAAGGTATCTTCTCTTTGTATTTCCTGCCCTTCCTATTCAGTAAAATGTAATTCTCCTCTCAGATGATTTTATCTGTGAAAGAAATTCCCTTACACCAACTAGAGATGGTTAAAACAAAACAAAAAAACAAAAAAAGGGATTTTTTCCCCTTGGTGTTTGTCAAAAGCTGGGTTGGTTTATTATTATATTTTGAAGCAGGAGAAAGAACTAGAGGAACAAACCTCATGGCCCTGAGGGAGTAAACAGAGGGCACAAAGAGGAAATCGCATAAATTCTGAGGAAATATTCCCAATATTTCAGGAAAATCTGGAAACATCTGATACAGCCTGTCCAGCTTCACGGCTTGATTTTGTGAAACATCACCAGAATGTGATCAGCCACAGCACATTTCTGCCATTTACTGACTCAGGGCTTAGGCAACCATAAATGAAAAATAATTGTGGCTTACTACTGGGAGCTGGGAGCTCAAACTTGTGGTAGCTTTAATTCCGGTTCTGCTACACCAACTGGACTTTGGCATGCAATCTGTTACAAGCTTCACTCCCCCTGCCGAGCATTCCTGGGCTTCAGCAGGAGTAAAGGTGGGTCACAGATGACCAGGTATCCCTGTGAACACACTGTCATTGTCCGAGTGGAGGACGCTTGCTGCCACCTCCTGAAACACATTCCTCACCAGCCGCCAAGGTGGAGGAGTGGAAAAGGGGCATGAGAAGAGTGTTTTAGCCTGCCTGCCCTGTTCCCTACTTCACTGGTATTTGACTGCAGCAGCATAAGCTGAAGGGAGGAGGTTTTAAAGCAGATGTCTGGCATTTTACCATAAAAACTCTGCCAACCATTTTTTCAGCGAAGAAGGAAGTCACTCACACCCTCGTAGATGCACAAGTCCTTCTCTGCCCTATGTGTCTCCAAAGAGTGGGTCTGGGGAGCACAGGTGAGATGACAGAGATTTTGTCACCCTTATTCATGTCAGACAGGAGAGGGTCCACGTGGCCAAGGCAAGCAATCCCGCTCAGGACATCAAGCCTCCTCACCGTCCCACCCTCACCCAGCCTGAGCACCTATCTATTAAAAGCAGTCCCAATATTCATGCAGCGAAACAGCATTTAACCCTCCTGAATGCAATCATCTATCTTCCCCTAACTGGGAAATGGAAAATGAGTATTAAACAACCCAAAAAGAGTATTCCCCTTTGTGGGACCTATGCAGTGCAGAGCACCAACAAATTGTATTTAACACATGGGATATAAATCTCCAAGAACACCTTTTTGAGTCCTCTCACATTAAGCTCCTTTGTATATCTTGGTGGCATCTTGTTTGCAGTTTCCATCTGGGGAACAGCCGTACTCCATCACGGCACAGGGAGCTGTCTCCGTCAGCCCTGCGCCGACTGGAGCAGAGCTGCATATCAAAACCCAACATAATTATCCATCTCACAGTTTATTATTTACACATGAGCAATACAGCTGGTGAACATCATAACTCAACTGTATGTGTAATAAGTTACTGCACTGTAGCCATCTCCTGTTGCAACCCTTAAGAAAAACCACATGATGACTTTTCCAAAGTGAGGCTAAAACTGCTGAAGCAGAATAAAGTGCCACTAAACCTGGCTACCTCCTATTTATCATATAATTTCCTGACTGATGGTTCCACAAACCAGCTGCTAAGTGCTGTGTACTCTACTGTCAGCAGACTAACATGCTAAATGGGGGACAGGGAGAATAATGTGCAGAACTAGTGGAGTCAATTTTATGGAGGGAATTCACATTCTGCCATGTTTGGGTCAGCCCTCAACGCAGAGGTAGACAGTAAATTCTACGTGCTTGGGGGTCCAAAACCACTCCACTTTGAAGAGCATTGAATATTTATACAGAAAGACTCTTAGATCAAACGGACACCTGCCAAAGCACCCACCACCCAGGGCTTCACTTGGAATTCACTTGAAACTCCATACAAATGTAATCGGTTGACATGTATTTATATGGAAATACACAGTAAGAAGTTTGCAAAGCAGTAACTCGGGCTGTAGCCAGTTTCACATTGCTTTTTCGTATGCCACCCAGTAACTATTTTATTAAAAGCACCATCAGAATATTACAGGCACATTCTGCCACTATTATTTATGCTGCAGCTGAGTAAAGAATGAGTGAGACTACTCACAGGCTAGAATTGAATCAGGACCTACCTGACTCCTGGCTGTTTGTGAGAGATGCTCTACCTATCTAGAAAACCAAGGGGCAACTTAGTGTAAAAGACAGGATACCTGCTCTGACTATAATGACATTTTCATGTTTCTCATTTAAAGTGTGAAGAACAAAACTCTTACCCTTAGCAAAGAGGAACTCCTCTCACCAAAACGAATCGACAAAATCTAACTTCCTATTCTGCTAGGGAAATTACTTCTTATCATTTGCAACTTCTTAAAAATTCTGGCTGAGATGCAAACTACCACAGCATATGCCAGGCAGTTTTCTTACAGAGATCTGAAGGCAACTGTGAATTGCTGGACCAATCCTTCAATTACATTCTTGCACAGACTCCCTGATGCAAGTGTACAGTACAGGAGTTGAGACGGCCAGATGCTGCCTGTATATTTGGAGCCCTCAGCTCCAATTCAGCAGAAGTATCTGACTCTGTGCTTAAACTTCACCATTTTCAAGAACTTGTAAGGACATGCCAAGGCACTGGAAATACACTTAAGCACATTCCTTATGCATTGCTGAATTTGGTATCTGTTGCCGCCTTCTGAATTCTCTGCTGTCCACTACTGTAAGCTTCCTTCAGATGCTCTCCTGGCTCCTGCATACCTAGCAGGGTCTCCTCAAAACAAAATGGGAAATACAACTGCCTGAAATGCTACAAACTCATCAATTTTAGCTCCGTGAGATTTTCTGGAAAATACGTCAATTTATGCTGACTTTTTGTTGTGTAAAACGTGCCTTTTTATTTCTTCTTCAAGAACCTTTCTTGCCTTCTTAAAGAAAGTGAATAGGATCATCTCTCTCAAATTACAATCACTCCCATACAAGAAAAAAGAAGAGACCTACACTTTTCTCTGAAAGCCAGCAACCTAGGGCTCTGCTGCAGCATCAAGGGAAAGAAACTGGGAGAAGTGACAGGTATGGTCCTTGCTGCTGAACAGCAAACCTGAAGTGAAGTCTGATGAGATGTAGCAGGCAGCAGCAATTCACTGCAAGACTTGGTGGAAAGGCAGACGATGCCAGCTGGCTCAAAGGTGCTGTGCAACACCTTGAGACAACAGCAAAGAGGTAGGCTGCTCCAAAGCTCAGTAAAGTTAAGGATAACTTTTCTGTAGACTCTGTAGTCTCTCAAATAAGCTTTACTCAGTTTGGGGATCACTACATTTGGAAAATTCGGCTGCAGTGGTAAGGCTAGTAAAACACTCTGCCTTCAGCTAACCGACTTACTTAAGCACCTTGTGATTCCTGCCAAACCCTTGAGGAAGACGGCTGCTGAAATGACAGGCTGCATTTTTCAGCACCTGAAGAAAACATTTGCTACTGTAGAAAACGCCTGCATCAGCTTGAACGTGCCCAGTGTGGCCCCAATGCCTGCACCTGTGTCATGACATCAGGGCCAAGCAAACACAGGACTCAAGCCCAACACAGGAAGCACTCATGTTTTAGCAGATCTGTCCCCAGGACGATCAGCTCACCAAATTAAATGTCAGAGCTGAGCCAGGTGCAAAACTATCTCAGATATAACCTCATTTGAGGTG